ATGCCGTCCACGTAGATGGCCACTATGAAGATTTTCTTATAAATGAAATGCGCTCTTCAATTCTAAGTTGGGAGCACACGCTTTGAGCTGAGCAAAGTGTGATTAAATCCATTTGAGTCTGGAGACAAAATGTCTTTTTTTATTGCCCCCCCCTGTATACGACATCCCTTCTTAGCAATTACGCCTTTATGTGTTAATCGTGAAGCGCCAGCTCTAAATACTCTACAAAGACCCCTGGGAATCGAAAAATCAACTAATCGATCAGTGAGTCAATTTTTGAGATCCGCAGTTTTGAGTAGGGAGGAAAGGATATGATTTATGGGTCCATGCACGTGCCCTTAAAAACGCAAAACAAAAATTATTCTGAGAAAGTCCTTCCTTCACGTCCTGAAAGACCTCTCTGTTGAAGACAGTAGAGACAAGAAGAAGGTAGTGAGTATATGTCTTAAAAAGCTGCTTATTGACAGAATACCGTCGTGAGTTGTTGCCAAAGTAAGGGTAAGTAGCTCGATCAGGTCTGAAGAAAGGGAAAGAATAAGATTACCTCATACTGCTCTTTATAACCTTGCTATTTTACAGCCGCACCATGGCCTCTTTTTGTTGGTCCATCATCTTATTCTCTTTCCGTCTGTTCTCAACCATTCAATCATACAGAAATGCGGAAGAAGTGGAAAAGGTAATTTTTCTACGATTTTTTTTTCAAAAACCACAAGAAGAGATAAAACAAGGTCTAGAGGCAGACCCCCCATCCGATGGGCAGACCCTCTCGTAAAATTGTACGGCCAGCTGTGGCGCAGAAGAGCCCGAAGCAGAGCGGCTTGGAAGATGTGCGACCTGCGTTTCTGGCGTGCCCGGGACGAACAGCGGTCGAGGAGTAAGCAAGACGCGATAAAGCACTTGGTGTCAGTCCTTGAGATTAGCCATGTTTTCAGTTTTATTTGGTCAATTTTTAGGCATATTTATCCTCTACCCTGCCAAATCAATATATTTTAGCTACATGCACCAGCTTTTATACAGTTTTGATACCAGATAGCAGAGATAAGCTTCAAATTCTTTCTGATATCGCACGTCGCAATTCGCAACAACTTTCGCCTGCAAAGGAGAAACATAGCGCATTGCTGTACCTCGTGAAGGTACCCTCGCCTTCAAATGACCAGAAATTGTGCAATTGCAGAAATTGACGTGGCATTAACGTGGCATCGATTCAAGAACATCTTTGAGCACACGTGATGTCACCTTTTCATCGAGAATTTAGCCACGTGTGCCAATGCCACGTCAATTTCTGCAATTGCACAATTTCTGGTCATTTGAAGGCGAGGAGTCAACCCTGCGTTGCGCAGTTCTCAACGGCCACGTTGCGCAGTTTCGCCCGATTAGACACGTTCTCTCGCGCGAACATTCACACTCGCATGCTCGAGCCGTCTGTGTCTCCGCCCATACAGCGTGCGTTGAGGATCTCTCAACGTGCCGTTGCGAACTGCGCAACGCAGGGTTGACTCTGGGCGAGGGTAGTCGTCCTAGCGCATTGCTTTACCTCGTGAAGGTAGTCGTCCTTAATAAACCAAACATACATAGCTGTCCCCAAAAAACTAAATCCGTAGCTATGAGAGGCTTGCTATGTCTGTGCAAGATCCTATCCGTGATTTATGCGTGCGTTTGCAGAGCTTCTCGACTCTGCCTAATATTTGCCGTTCCCTCCGCCAAGTGCAAGCTTTTTTGGACTACTATTATAGAATGGGCGCGAGGTGCATACCATTTCGACGGTTGGCACTTATGCCACTTAATTACAGAATCAAAAATGCCTTTGGAGATTAATTGACATACCCAGCGATTCACGGGCGTCATTCAGTGAGGTATGAGGATACGTAGAGCCTTTTTGGTACCCGATATGAGGCCCGTCGCGCGGCAAGAAGGCAGAGTCAGCGGACGAGTAGTGATGTGCACTGCACTGTATACATTCTATTTAACTTGACGCGAAATCACTACAGTACACGCTGCGACTCGTCCGCTGACTCTGCCTTGTTGTCGCGCGGTAGGCGTTCTGTCGAGTACCAGAGCCTTTTACATACTCTTTGCCTCCGACATCCACAGACGACAAGTGACGGCGCCTTCTATTTCAATCTGATAACTAGTAGTTCATAGTGATAGCAGATGTTGGTAGATAATGCTAGTAATTAATGACAACTGATAGAATAAAAGTGCAACTCTGGCTGAAAGCAATTACGTTTTGTACAGGCCATCGTCCCTTGTGGTGTGCGGTCTGCATTCGACGTGCACCTGGTTTTCGGAACCAGAGGTTCTGTTCTGCACCGTTTGACCCAACTCCTGAGGGCCAAAGAATTTCAACTTTTGAACGCCTTCTAATCTAATCGTAAGAAGAAGGAACGCGGCCTATATGATCGTCTCAATACTCCTTCCAGCAATGAAAACTATCGCTCCGGGCCCGTGCATGTCTCAATTGCAATCACTCAGTCAGCCGTAGACGTTCTGAAGAAAAATAGTTCAGTTTTACATAGTTTCTGGAGCTGCCAAAAATTTTTTGGCATCTCTATGAAATCAGATAGCATCGAGCGCATCAAAGACGTTCTTGACGTTAAAGCAGTGTGCTACGGAACGCTTGATTGCAACATGCTTGGCTGTGACAAACGTTCCAAGCGCCAGCTACCATTTTTTTTTTCGGAAAATCAATTAGGTATCTTAGTTGAAGGGAACAAATTTTACCCCACACCTATATTTATCCCTTTTTGTTTTGTTTTTTTTTTCGTGTTTTTAATGGTATCACTGTTATCAGGATGAAAAAATAGGACCATGAATGGAATGAATGAATAATGAAACGCGATGGTCATGGTATCGAATTGGATAGAAAGATTACCGGTTAGATAGAAGCGCTAGGTACGCAGCGCAGAGGTCGCTTCACTTCCCTACTTCGAAAAGCGTTACTTAGACGCATAGGCGCTAAGAACTCTGACACGCCTCCACCTGTTCAGACACGCTCCGCCCACCGCTCGATACCTTGTGTGCGTCGCTAACTTGATCTGCTATGCTCTCTCCTACTCGTTCTTCTCTAGCGCTCTCCCGCGCTCACTTATCTCTCATCTCCCTGCCGGCCTTTTGAACTTCTCCGCAGCGTAGAGCAAAAGGCTCGTATTTCCTGTGCATTTCACGATTTTTTTCTTTTTTCTCCACTGGCGGTCCACTTCCTACCCCTACTTTCACATTTTAGTGGAATTACCTCATAATTTAATCCTGAATCTAGCCTTCAAAGTCATTTGTTGTGGGACCATGTTTTCACCTTGTCAACCGGGGGTGTCAGCAAAAATGCTTCATATTTACCACTGGCACGGTTCCGTAAGAAAAAAACATGACCTTGAGAGAGATATGAGCCCTAGCTTATTGTATAGGTTGAATATGTAAAATTCAATTACTTATTGTGGGACGTGGAACCGTGACATTTCGTAGCTTTAGGTACTTGGGTTACGAAATGCAGGTGACAACCCCTCCACTCTTTGGCCTATCATGAACATGTCACCATATGTAGTGTAGCCATTCTGCCTTTTCGATTCTTCGATCTGATGCCATTTGCCTTGATGATATCGCTTGATTATTCAGGAACTAATGGATAAATTCGAACGGCAAGGCGATGTATACTCGAGGGAAGAGGTCATCAAAGAAATTGGAGAGTTTGAGGAACCACTGCTAACACATATGAACCACACCGTTATGACCAATTACCTGCATGTAAGTTTCGATGAAAATTTAGGCCGGAAAGTGTGTTTTTGTCAATAATAGTGATTTTGTCAAAACTAGTGGTTAAGGCTTTGGCAGACGCATATCCGAACCTCACTCATCTCTATTCTATTGGTAGCTCCGTTCGTGGACGTCAACTCTGGGTGCTCACTATTTCGAAGTATCCACGAAAACACGAGACGGGAGTTCCAGAATTCAAATATATTGCCAATATGCACGGCAATGAGGTAAATAATCAGTTAGTGTGTTATACGAAAGCAGTCCCTAACGTCACTAGAACCCACGGAAGTTCCGGAAAATAGTGATCAGTACCGGCCCATCATATCCAGTGTACATGCGCGCTGGCTATTCAAATCTGAGAAGTAGTTTCCAATTCCCTCAAGGGCACATTCTTCGATGAATCCAGGTGGGTAAATTTGCAAAGCCAACAGATGTGCCATTCCTAGGGCCTGAAACAGTGCGATACAAACGCCAGGGTCATGTAGTGTCTGCAGTGGACCACCGCTCCTTCCGCTAACGGACGTGAAGGTCTACACGGCGAGGGTGTCCCCCAAGAGGCCCGTCGCGCGGCGAAGGAAGAGACGCAGATGCGGCAAAGGACGAGTCGCAGCGCGTGCTGTGCGATATGAGACGTAGTATGGTACACTCTATTTAACCTGACGCCTAACCGCTACAGTATGCGCTGCGACTCGTCCTTTGCCGCGTCTGCGTCTCTTCCTTCGCCGCGCGATGGGCCTCTTGGGGCAGGGTCAACCCTACGTTGTTACGAGTAACAACGGGGGGGGGGTCGTACCTGGTTGAGTTTGTAGGAGGGGGGGGGTCGTACCCACTTTAGTCGCTCGAAATCACGTGTGGGATTGAGGTGAAACTAAGATTTCGTGGGTAGTAGGCTGGGCGAGTGGAGGGCGCGCAAGATAAACATTTGCCGTTTCAGCCGACGTATATAT